AACTTTTGCCAAACTTAAACTGTTCAAGCTAAGATTTTTGGTGAGGGTGTCTGCTTCAGGCTGAAATTTGGGGGTGGCGGGGGGCGGAGGGGGAGGGAATTTCAGCAAAAAATGATTCAGCCATTTAAGAAAACGAGTTAGGGAAAATATGTTTTTTACTATTTATAATAGAAATTTGTTACAACTGTGTGTTGAGTAGCTCTAACACCTGATGCTTTGGAGCAGGGAGGTTGCATTGGTGACAAGGATGTGATTTTTTGCTCTTCTTTTGAAAATTCACCCAAAGTCAACCAAACTATAAACCTCTTCAAATCTCAGTTCCCACATGGTCAATAGAGCTGGCAGAAAAATTGTTTGAAGATTCCATCTGTTCTGAGTACTCACCTGTGTGACAAGTAGACTGCGTGTGTGCCATCTCCACGGAGTGACTGAGCTTCTCCACAGCAGCACTGCAGGGGTTGAGCAGGTCTTTTCCTGCAATAGCACTTGTGGGCTTCTGGGTGCCTCTGTGAGGCCAGCTACGAGAAGTGAGAGTAACGAAATTGCCTTTTATTCTCAGTTCTCCCTCTGCTGGCGGCCAGGCAATGTGGAGGAGTCCTGTGGGGGAAAAAAAACAACACAGTATGTGTTCATGTAATTAAAGACTGTATCATCATACATGAGCATAAGGGTTTTGAAGCAAGGTTGCTCAGGCAACGTTATTCTGGCATTTGCTAATTCTGAGTATTTGATTTTTGTGAACTTAACATTCTTTGAATGTAGGGCTTTTTAAAATTTAATATAAATATACTTGAATGTGAGACTAATTTCACACGCAAGTATACAGTTCAGTTCATTACACTCTTAGGGCTAAATTAGTTTACATTTGTTTTAAAACGTTCCTGGATGATCTGTAGTTTGGAATAAAGTGTTGCCTTTAGGGCACTGCTCATCTTAAGGGGTGATGTGGTGCTGCATTGCCTATGGGGAGCATGTATGCTACTTGACCTCTTTGTGAGTTGTGGCTTACTCTGCTTTGCTGCACCAGTCCAGTGTAGGCCTAGTGCATTGGGGAGGTATGGGAGGAGGCAGAGAGGTCCCTACCCTCTTTTTGTGCCACTGTGCCTCACAAGGGGATAGGAACTGTAATTCTGTCTGGTCTTTAGACAGCACATGCAAGGTGGGAGGAAGAAAGGAGAAGACTTCTTTTGTCTTCTCTGCCCCCGCTATTTACATATGTAAGGTCCAGGCAGAATCTGTCCCTTAGATAATGTATAATGAAGAAATCATAACATGGGTGAACAGGAGCTATAATATTCAATGTGAGTTAGGGACAGTGCTTAATTTGCAATGAAAGAAGTGCCGGGCCTCAAGAAATTAGGTGCTGGGGCTCAGCCAATTTTTTTACTTTCATAACTAATGCGGCAAACCCGGAGGTACCAGGGCTATGAACTGCCAAACCTGGAGGTGCTGCGGTTCAGCCCTGGCAAGCCTTGGCACAAATCAAGCAATGGTTAGGGGGCAGAATTAGGCCCAAAGTGAACATAAGCAAACCGCTTTCTTCTGCGTTCTCTTGCTTAATTTCTTTGGTAATGTCACAGATAGATGCTGGTGGTATCAAAATCTATTGCCATGGAAGCATGTGATAACACAAGCACCAGATTGTGGCATCCGTGAATAAATCAGGCAGCAGGAGGAAGGTCTAATATCAGAGAGAGCTGATTTTACGCACGTGCACACACACAAACGTGCCTGGGTAATTAACAGTGATAGAAAAGGAAATAAAATATTATGTCTTGATGAACTGTTTACTGCTGGGAGAATTCTGCACCAAGAAATTAAAAATTCTGCACACAGTATTTTAAAATTCTGCAAAATTCTGCCCATTTTGTCAAAATAACACAATATAATCATGTCAATTTCAATTATTTTGGTAATTTATTTCAAAATACCTGTCAGCAACTATGTAGCAATATAGACACCAAAAAAGATTCAGGAAATGTTTTATGACAAATAGATTCCTTACTAGGCATATTAATACAAAACTCTGAGTAATGATTCATTTAAGCTACAATACAGGAACGTATTTCCCACTGCGCATGTGCAGACTTCAGAAGCAGTGCAAAGGCTGGGGGCAGAGCCGGCTCTAGGTTTTTTGCTGCCGCAAGCAAAAAAAATGTTGGCCACCCCCCCCCCCCTTTTTTTGGCTTTTACACGTTTGCACTTTGCAGGTTTTTTTGTTTCTTTTTTTGACTGTTTAAATTTTTTTAAAAAATGAAAACAGAGAATTTGCAGCAAAAACAAAAAACTACGTCTTTGGTCTGTGAATACACTAACCACAATCTATTAATTTGTTCCCCATTTTTCATTTTTTTTCTTCATACTGGATGGCATAAATCGACGATTCGACTCATTAAATGGATATTGAAATTTAGGATTTAGTTTTGAAGGACTTTTTAATCACAATAATCATTAGCATTGCATCAGTAATTGTCAGCCATGTACTTGGATCCAATCCTATGTCAGTCTCTCCACCTTCCAATAATTGTTCTTGGATTTGGATAACAGTTCTTCGTTTCTGGACTCTTCAGCTGAAGAAGTAAATCTTTGGATGGATTGTGATTGTTCGTCTTTATCAGGTAGCGAAGATAATCTTTGGTCAGATTGTTGTTCATCTTTATCAACTGATAAAGATGATCTTTGGTTCGATTGGTCTTCATCAGTTGATGAATAATCACTTTCAATGCATTGCTTAGAGCTTTCTCCTTGATTGTTGACTTTTTAAAAATACTTATTTGAAGTACGAGAGTTTTTCTAAATCTTTTTGACGTTTCTTTCTTTGTTGCTGGTAGGCAGCACCGGAAAGTCGTTTTCGTTTTTGTCCTGGCATTTTAGCCCTATAACCACTGGCACTGATGCAACACGGAAATTGTCGGGAATGGCGCCGATCGGAGGGCACAGTACACACAAGTAATCGTGATTCCTGATTTAATTAATCAATAACCATTAACATTTACACACGTTCACATTGAGTGACTGTGTCACGATGTGACCCGATATTTTTCATGTCATGCTCCTATCGCACTACTGGAGATTTTTTTTTGATTTTCACGTTGTTTTTTTTTGTACATGGGTGGATTTTTCCGGAAAAAAAGGATGGCCGGAATGCCGCCCCTGGAAATGTGCCGCCCCAAGCACGTGCTTGCTTTGCTGGTGCCTAGAGCCGGTCCTGGCTGTGGGGGACTCAGGGATAATGGAGTAGCTCAGGGAGAGAGAAGTAATTGCTGGGAAGGAGCCTGGGTGTGAAATTGGAGGGCTGTTGGATGTGGGTGGGAGAAGTATGGAATGGGGTTTTTTGGACAGGGAGGGATTGTTAGGGCTCCTCCACCACGCAGACCCTGACTGACCCCTAGCCTTTCTCATTCAGTCACTCACTCCCGCCTGTCCCCATATATCCCTGCACCACCATTCAGCTGCACCCTCCCTCCATGAGGCCCTGCACCCCTGCCTTCCTGTCCCCATGTGTCCCTATACCCCCACTCCCATTCAGCTCCCGCCCAAGTCTGTGACACCCCCTGCACAGCAGCCCCATGTGCCCCCACTGTCTGCACCCCCTCCATATGCCATGCCTCCTGACCCACAGGCCCCTGGTGGGCAAAAGGTGTAACTGAAGCAACTTTCCTGCAGAATGTATTTTCTGCGGGGGAAAAAATTCTGCATGACCCTTGAATTCTGCACCAGTGCGCATGTGCAGAATTTCCCCAGGAGTAGCTATTGGAAGGAGAACAATGTGCTACTTGTACTCGTTTGGAAGGGGTTCTCTATCTATTGTAATGTACTTAAATGCCTCAGTTCAAGCTGTCATATAAATTATGTTCATTATAGTTAATCCTCCAGGTGTTTTTTAATGTAATAGGTTTTCATAAATAGGATGGTGATCAGTTTTGTTCTCTCCGAGGGTAGGACAAGAATAAGCAGTTTAGTTTACAGCAAGGGAGATTTAGGTTGGATATTAGAAAAGCTTTCCAGCTATAAATTTAGTTAAGCACTGGAACTGGTTATCTAGGAGGTTGTAAAAAGCAACAGAGGGTCCTGTGGCACCTTTAAGACTAACAGAAGTATTGGGAGCATAAGCTTTCGTGGGTAAGAACCTCACTTCTTCAGATGCAAGAAGAGGTTGTGGAATCCCCATCATTGGAGGGTTTTAAGAATAGGTTAGACAAACACCTGTCAAGGATGATTTTGGTTGACTCAATCCTGCCTCTTGTTGTTCCTTCCAAATCTACATGTCTATGATTCTGTGGATATAAATTGAAGAGCAGGATGAAGATTAGTTGTAGTCTATAGGTCAACAACATTCTCATCTCATCACATTTGTTTGGTTTATTTCCATACAGGTTTATATTGGTGATAAGTGCTTTTTTTTTTGCTTTGACAGTCAATACTTCAGTGTTTTGCTATGGTAGAGTGAGTTCATCAGTGAGCTTTTACAATCATAAACTAATTTGCAATTACACACCTGGTGGGGGGGGGGATGGAAAGTAATACAGATAGTGCTCTGAATAGAGGGTAGTGAAGAGCCCCACTAACCTTGGGAGGATCTTTAGGATGGATTGTGTCTGTGGATGTGTAATCCATCCATAGCTGTCTAGTGGGCAGGGAGAGTATGCACATTGCACCATTCTAAGTGGCCCTGCCTGCCAGCCAACTCTGCAGGCTAGTATTGAGGGTCTGCATTGCCTCCCCACGTTGTTTGGGTAATATGCCTCCATAGTGTCAGGGAAGGTGCATGCCTGTGATTTCAGTGACTGCAGTTGTCACTTGGGCTTATGTAGGAAGTGCTGGGGAAGAAAAGAGGGGAGGAAGTTATCTCTAGGCCAGGGTCAATCTAGCCAATAATGTTTTGTGACAAGGATGGACAAAAAATGTTGCATTTGAGTTTGGCCTCCTAAAAGTTTTGTCCTTTAAGGTTAAGGTTGCCTTTGCTTCAAATTTTAATATACCTTCTCTGTCTTTTTTAGCTGTAATGTTTTCTTCTTCCTCCACAAGATTTTAAGTATTGAGATTCTGAAGAACAAACGTGAAGGATGCCATCTGAGAGGTGCCTCAGGTATGGTACTTTAAAACAGTGCAGGATGTCATTGTCATTTAGCATGGTGTTTACTGAAACATTAGTCAGCATATGATGCATTAACAAAAGCATTCATTTAACACCTGGATCTCCAAATTATAACCTGGAAGAGATTGCTTTAAGTGTTGCTGTTGCCATTATCACGAACAACATGAAGCATGCATGAGACAGTAGTAATTTACTTGAGCCCCACAATCCTCTTCAATTCTCTGTTGTTTCTTGTTCTTTATGTCCTTAGGAATTTGGAATTTGCCCATGGGCATTTGCAATGCGAGTGCATGCCCAAAGTGTAGACAAAGAAAACCCTGGAATCAATGGGGTTTTGCACTGGTGCAGCCATAATGGTGGCTGGCAATTGTTTGCTGTGATTGGGGCACTTTCCCTATGGCCATCTATAAGAAGGCTGTAATGCATTCTTATTCATACACTTCCTCTTCCTTCCCTTCCAAAGTTCTCATTTCTATTTTTCCTTATCCATCTGATGCCTCAATCTGTTTCTCTCTTGTTTATTCTTCTTACTGGCCAATTTACTTAAGACAATAATTATTATTGAATTCATTTTGGGAATGTTTGCACAGAAGGTGCTATACAAAATATATTCATGCTATGGAATTTCTGCAGGACCTAACACCAGCCTGGGTCCCTGGAGGCTGCTCTATTTTATACCCACTGCCTACATCTCACTGGGATCAACTTGGCAATCCTTTTTCTCTGCCATGACCCCAACACCGGAAGATTCCCTCACACATGGGGGATAATGAACTGCCTAGCTCTACTATGCTTATGGCCACTTTGCACTCGCAGAATGGTACAAAATGGCACAGTGTGCCTGTGAATCAATGCTCTCATGTTTATAACTTTCAGTTGAAACTGTCGAAGATGTACATACCATGCAACTATGTTTGTACGTATGTGGTTGTAATCAGAAAAATTACTAAAAGTTGACGTTGTGCATTACAAATATTTGCTCCCTCTGATTCTAACTCTGCTGAGTTTATGGACAAAATCAGTGTTTTGTTCCTGTTAGAAATGGGAAGGGAGGATGCACGAACTGTCTTCTATTGTTCCTCAAGCATCAGTAACAGAATTGCTTGTTTTGCTTTGGTTCCGGGTTCCTTATTGTTGGTGCTGAAGAATGAACCTGAAAAAACACAGCTGGATTTTTTTTTTTCAGTTATCAAGTTGAATTTACAGCACTGACTGCTTAAAATACTAAATCTTGACTTGACTTAGTGAATTTGCTATGGAGTTACAGAAAGGAAATAAATGTAAAACGGCAAGAAATCACTTTTACAGGATTGTCTTTCCTGACAACTGTACTTTATTGTATATGAATAGGATTCCACAAGCAGAATAGTCAGAAGTTATTTTGCACTTATTTCTTTGGTGTGAAACTGAATAAAGGATTAGCCCCTCAGGTGGTATAAATTCATATATAATTCACATGATTTAGCCCAGCAGAGTATCTGGCCAGTTGTATGTGGATTTTTTTTTCTCCATTCCATGTATTTTTTTTATATAGGTATGATGAGGTTGTCCTTTCCATTTCCTTGAGTGGAGGAGACTTGGATCAGGCAGATTTAGGCAGGGAAGCTCAGGGACTATCCGCTCCATGGCTTTGTCCAAACACCAGGGATTTAGAGGAGATGCTTTTGCAAAAGCACCTGGATTGGTCCTTAGTACCATGTAAAAGTCACCTGAGCCCTTAACAGAAACCACCAAGTAGCCATCTGACAACTTTAAGTTACAGCCATTCTGAGTTGGGTTTAAAGACGCAACCTAAAGGTGAAAGTCTCTAGTCTATTATTAATTTCTCAGCAATCTAGCCCCTACTTATATATTTTAAAATATGCTCATATTTTAAAGTGAAAATGTAGCAAAAGTTGATATCAAATGACTAATTATTGGTTGAAACCACTTTTACAATATTACCAAGGAATAAGGAATACTATGTTCTGTTGCTTTGACACCTTAAATTGTAGGTATTATCTGAAAAGTAATAGTAACAAAAAAAAATTGAACCTTCTGGTATCACAGATCTGCTGCTTGTGAGTCATATCTGCTTTTTTAAGTGACAATTTTAACTAATCAGAACTATTTTTTAACCTCCATTAGTTCAGCTAAACCAGCATAGCTATGGAAAAATTAGATGGAATCTCTTCTGGCTTGCACAGAATCAGCAGAATTCTTTATGAAGTACTAGTAGTAGAAACTGTTGTTGGTGATAATACGTGAGCCAGACCATTTGTAGACTTAGTTACATGAATGTTCAATATTCCTTTCTACTAATATATTACTTTAGGCCACTTTGGTTGTTTTTCTGTTACCCTGTGAGAAGATGATAAAGCCCTAAACCTTTGTACTCCTCTTACTTAACACTTGTATAAATCAAAACACTGAACCCAACAGTGGAGTAAAGGAGAAAAGAATTAGGGCCCTTGAGTTGTTGTGAATCTAACACATTTTCTATCCTAAATAAGACTAAGTTATGTGAAACATAAGGCTAAACATACCACATACAAGAGACTCTCTGTCTGGGCACATGCTGCTTTATTTTTTTTAAACCAGAAATGTTGATCAGCATTTATTACTGAGCCTCGGAGATGGGTCTTATATTTGTTGATAGAATCTTTGTTTCCTTCATTTGCAGTATTCAAGAAATGCTGACAGGTCAGAGGCTTTGCCAATCCAGTTCACATAATGATGCTGTCTTGGCGGCCCTGAACCAACAAAGAAGTGATGGTATACTGTGTGACATCACCCTCATTGCAGAAGACCAGAAATTCCATGCACATAAGGCAGTACTTGCAGCATGCAGTGATTATTTCCGAGTAAGTTTTAACTCCGCATTTTCCTTCCCTTATAAAATCACTAAGAAATATGATGAGACTTCAAGAAAAAAATGGTTGCAGGTTCCATGCTGAGCAAGTTATAATTTAAAACTGAGTCTTTGAAAAGGATGAGATTTATGTTTTTTGAAATGCACATACTGCACTTTAATTGCATATCACGCTATTAAAATATCCATAATTTTTGTAAGTGTGAATATTATTTGCAATTTTTTCTAATTAAGAGTTTAATTTAGTTTTTGTCTTTAATATGGAGTCTGGACTTTTTAAGAATGTTCTTTTAACGGAGGTATAGGGGTTTGTGTCTGTGTAATTTCCTAGTTTTAAAAAAAAGCAAACTGAAAAAGTGGAAATTCCATTATGTGGCATCATATTAGAACATAAGAGCTACCATACTGGGTCAGTATGGCCCATGTTGCCCAGGATCCTGTCTCCGACAATGGCCCATAGCAGAGCTTCTTGGAGGAATGTAGAGAACAGGGCAATTATAGAGTGATCCACTCCTGTCTTCCATTCCTGGGTTCTGGTAGTCAGAGGTTTAGGGTTGCCCCGAGCATGGGGTTGCATGCCTGAGCTCCATCAATGGCTATTAGCCAAGATGCTATCTTCCATGAACTTATCTAATTATCTAATTCTTTTTTGAGGCCAGTTATACTTTTGGCCATAATAATTTCCCATGTCAGTGAGTTCCACAGGTTAGTTGTGAGTTGTGTGAAAAAGTACTTCCTCTTGTCTGTATTAAACTGCTGCCTATTAATTTCATTGGGTGACCCCTTTTTTAGTATTGTGGGCAATTGTGGATAACAGCCCTCTGTTCACTCTTTCCACACCATTCATACTTTTTTATATAGTGGCATTATGATATTTTGTCTTATTTTCTATCACTTTGCTAATAATTCCTAACATTCTGTTAACCTTTTTTTACTACTGTTGTGCATTAAGGAGACATTTTCATAGAACTATCCATGGTGACTCCAAGATCTTCTTTGTATGGTAACAGCTAATTTAGAACCCCCTCACTGTATATGTATAGTTAGTACAGGGATTGGCGACCTTTGGCATGCAGCCCACCAGAGTAAGCCTCCTGGTGGGCCAGGCTGGTTTGGCTGATCGCGGCTCCCACTGGCTGCGGTTCACCATCCCAGGCCAATGAGGGCTGCGGGAAGGGCAGCCAGCACATCACTCGGCCCGTGCCGCTTCTCGTAGCCTCCATTGGCCTGGGAGCTGCGAAACCTGCGGACGCGGCAGGTAAACAAACCAGGGGGCTTACCCTGGCGGGCCACGTGCCAAAGGTTGCCGATCCCTGAGTTAGTATTTTTTCCAATGTGCATTACTTTGCACTTAGCAATGTTGAATTTCATCTGTCATTTTATTGCCTGGTCTCATCCAGTTTTGTGAGATCCCTTAAGTCCTTGCAGTCTGCTTTGGACTTTAATATCTTGAATCATTTTGTGTCATTGGCCAACTTTGCCACTTCACTGTTCATTCCCTTTTCCAGATCATTAATGAGCATGTTGATGCCCCCATGGATCATCATGAAAGTTTGAACCTTTAGATCTACAGCAAAGACCTATGCCACGTGCGCTAAAAGAGTAAATAATAGCAATAGTAGGTTGTCATCTTCTACGTGGACCATCACTAAAGGGGGATGTGACACTTTACCAGAGGATTTCTCATATATTTGCTGACAGCAGTGGCATGCTGAGACTTGGGAAATCTTGAAGTTCCCTTCCAGCCTTTGGAGGGGAGTTTACACTACTGGACCACTTCTGCCTTGTTTAGATCACTTCTGCCCTGCCCCTCCAGCCTGTCCCTGTCTCTTTCCTTCCCCTGGCTCCTTGTCCCAGCCCTATTCTTCTCACCTAGCTAGTCCCAGTCTCCTTGCCCAGAAAGTGCTAGTTTCATCCCTTCAAACTCCCTGACCCAGTCTTGTCACCATTCCAAGTCCTCTCTTCCCAGCTCCTCACCTGATCTCTCTCCTTTTCCCTATTGCCAAACACCCCATTCATGTTCCTCATACCCGCTGGCTCCCAATCTCCCTTCTTATGCTCCACACGCAATATCTGCATCCCCTCCTTCTCTTGCTCTTTTACCCAGTCTCTTTGCCCAGCCAGTTTGTTCTCCTCCAGTTGCTTGTCAGATCGCCCTTTCCTTGCCACACAGATTCCCAATCTCCTCACCCACTGCCAGACTGCAGTCCTAATCTCCTCCAACCCCCACAGGGTCCATATCCCCTGTTTACTCCCCCTAAGCCTGCTGCAAGTCCAGCTCTTCTCCACTCTTCATTCAAACCAAGCAGCTTCCTCTTCCGCGCTCCCTCTGCGTAGCTGGGGGTTCATTCAAAGCACAATTGAGACAGGCTCCCTGCTCACAGTTCAGGTGGTCACCCCCAGCATGTTCTGCAGCAGCCCGCAGTTGCAGGAAAAATCCTGCTAGGCCCCAGGCTGCAGCATGCCCACTGTGGCTGGAATCTTCTGGGAATTTAGCTGTGAAGTTCTAGTAAGCCACTACTGAGCATGTGTGAACTGTGCTTCCTCCCCCCGCCCAAAGGCTTAAAACTTCGCCACATTGGGTGGATTTTTATGGGGATGACTCCTCTGCCAAATTTAAAGCCCATGCTCCAAAGCATTGGGGTACTAGAGCTTTTCACAGAAAATGTCACTAGAATTTTTTAACTTGGCACAATAACATATCTTCCCTGTCCTTTGTTCTCAGAAACAGCTGAATGATTTTGGCTGAAACATTCCAAAAAAATTCAGCTTGACATAGACACCCAGCATAGAAAATTTCAGCCCAAATTATGAAAGTTGGGTGAAATTCAAAGCAATTGAAAAACAGGTCTTTTTATTGGAAGTGTGCAAGCTTAATTATAGGCATTATTACCAGTCCCACCTTGTGTGTGTGTGTGTGAGAGAGAGAGAGATTCTAAACTGTATCTATAGGTTTATTTTGAAATCTCATTAAATAGTGAGTCACCTTGACACTATTCTGAGACTAAAGGAATAATTGCTTTAAAAGTCTGTTTTCAGTAACAAAATACAGTTAAATTTTTAGCTATAGTAGTTGTAGCATTAAATGCCTTTACAGTGACCTTTTCATTCCATTAATGTAATTATATGTTTTTAACACCCACGTATTGTGAGCTATTCTGTATCCTTAATTGTCTAAACAGGATCTTCGTCCTCCCCTGGAACTTGATAACTTTTTTGTTAAATTTGAGGTTTAGCTTGCTATATACATATAAGGAACGCTGTTAACTTCAGACCAGTTACTTTCACTGTAATGACTACTAAATCAATTTAACTTCCAGTTTTTGAGTACATTTTCCCAATTTCTCTCCCTTATTGCTATCAGAGGGGACCCTCCACACTTAACAGGAGAGAACACTTCTGCCAGATATATGCACTATTCTTAAGTGTGAGTTGCTGATCCTACTATGTTGCCTCTTGGCCATATGCAGCCAGGACACCTGTTTCTCCTCTTCTTCCTGGCGTACAGAGGACCTTGATAGGGTTGCCAACTTTCAAATTGCAGAAAACTCCAACACCTCGCCCCCCCCTCTTTCCCCGAAGCCCCGCCCCCTGCTCACTCTATCCCCCCTCACTCTGTCGCTCGCTCTCCCCCACCCTCGCTCACTTTCACTAGGCTGAGGCAGAGGATTGGGGTGCAGGAGGAGATGAGAGCTCCGGCTGGGGGTGTGGGCTCTGGGGTGGGACTGGGGATGATGGGTTTGGGGAGCTCAGGGCTGGGGCAGGGAGCTGGGTGTGCGGGAGGAGGCTCAGGGTTAGGGCAGGGGGTTGGAGTGCAAGGGAAGGTGTGGGCTCCAGGTGGTGCTGACTCAGGTGACTCCCAAGAAGTGGCTGGCGTATCCGACTCCTAGGAGGAGGGGCAGCCAGGTGGCTCCACGCTGGTGCTCGGGGGCGGCACCTGCGAGCGGGAACAGTGCGCAGAGTCCCCCTGGCTGCCCTTTCGCCTAGGAGCTGGATATGCCAGCCACTTCCCGGGAGCTATGCAGAGCTGGGTAGGGAGCCTGCCTGCACCGCCAATTGGACTCTTAATGGCACATTCAGCAGTGCTAACCGGAGCCACCAGGGTCCCTTTTTGACCAGGTGTTCCAGTTGAAAACCAGACACCTGGCAACCCTAGGAGGGTAGATTGTTGGGGCACCTGTGTCTGATTTCAAGGAGTGACTGGAATGAGGAGAGGGGCACTTTTCCCCCTGCAGTCTGATTCTGCTGCTGACAACTCAGTCTTCCCCTGCCCCAGTCTGGTTGCCTCCTCTGGTTTTTCAGAGGGAATAGGTGCTGACTCTTTCCTCTTATAGCCAGATTTTTTGCCATAGCCTCTCCTGGTCCCATGGAATGGCTGTAGAGATTTTTCTCCTCCTCCTCTGATTTTTTATTACTCTCCTTCTGAGTGGCTTGAGGTTATGGAGGTATTTTCTCTTGCCTGCTGTCTGGTGCCCACAGTCTTGCAACGGGGAGGTGATAAGAGGGGTAATCTTGTTGCCTCCTGTCCCAGCTGAAAGGGTCTAGGGTAGGATGCATGCACCCACTGCTGTTAAGTACTCCCCAGATACTTTAAAGGGATCCAGGAAGAAAAGATGAGGACATGCTGCCTCCCACTTCCATGCAGCTCCCATTGCTCCACAGCCTTATGAAGAAGTCTAGGGGATGGAGAATGGGGCTCCTGTCGATCCCCACTTCCACTTAGGTGTCTGGGGACTTAAGATTGGGGCTTCCTTTCTTTCTCAGTCATTTGTTACTCTCCCGCCCTTTGCAAGAGTTGTGTGGTAGTCACATGGCTTCCCCTCCCACCCAGCACACTCTCTTCTCTCATTCCCCACCCCCCTCTAATGCCTGGCAACTCCGATGAAGAGTGGGCTGCTGCCTGCCTGCCTGCCCTGTGTTCTTTAGCAGTGTGACAAGAACAGCTCCTGTCTTGCTTACTGATTGATTGACCTTGAGATTGGGGCACTGTGA